TATGATAAAAAATCTCCCGCACAAGGTTTGATAGCAATGACACTTTGTGCTTCTTTTCTTGTCAGAAAAAGCCGTCCATATGACGTGTTACTCTTCTATTATGCTCGCATCCTAAAAATCTAAACGGATTGTTTCTTACCTGTTGGTCGAAAATGACCTTCAGCATGACGGAAAATCCAATGGTCTAATAATAAGTTCAGGTGGGCTCCACCAGTTCACCCGCATGAGAGAGTAATTTCTAATCAAGAGAGTTTCAAAATTTTAAATTCATAGGTAAAGCAAATTTTTTAGTTTCTATTGCGTAAACCTATGTTGTAATTGGCTAGCTCGAAAAGGTCCCAGAATATCAGTTGTCATGTCCTTACATGTATATACCCAACGATCAGGCTCCCATGCCCGGAATCACGACTCGCTACCAACGATTATCCCAATTGTATATAAACATATATTCAATCAAAGCCCAATCCAAGAACCTGTTTAGAAAAGGGTAGCTTCAATATCAATAAGAGCTCATCCATTTGACATCATGTTTGTCCCCCTAAGCAATGGCACGGAAACTAAGTAAATAGATAGAAGAGCGATTAGATCTTAATATACATATATATAATCAAATGTCCATAGAATTCAACGTCCTGCTGAGCAGACATGACCAAGAGGCAACAAATCGTTCGCAGAATTAAATTCCAGTGAACGAAATAGTTAAAGTTGACCAGACACAGGCAAACAGGAAATACAGATCCCGGAAAAGGTACCATCTTGGTTCCGTATTCGATGGCTTGCTCGGTGTGGAAAGTGCCATTCTTGCCGGTGATGCCTTGGCAGATGACGCGTGTGGTCTTGTCAACAAAAACGGCGGGAGAGGGTGGCGCCGACGTCAAATGACGGATCTGAGTGGAAGAAGAAGGAAGTGACGGCGATGAAGATGATTTGGTGCGTGATGCAATCGAGCTGATCAACTTCGCTACAGCTCGGCGACCCATGATCCGCCCTGATATGCTATGCTCTTTTCTCTATTACCCGGTTCCCACTCTTGGCTTGCTGCTGGTACACCCGGTCCCAGACTCCCAGGTCAGGACCTGAAGCCATCCCTCGCTCCCTTTTTTCACCCGAGTTTTTCAAAAACAATTTTTAATTTTTTTTATAGAAAATCAGTATTTTTTATGTGTAAAAATTTGTAAGATTCTTCTTACTAATGAATTTTTCAGTAAACTTTTTCCTTTTTTTTTTCTTTTGTGACATTTATTTATATTTATTTACCTTTTTAACTGGTATTTATTTACTTTCTTGGATGATGAAGTAAGGTTACATCACATTTTTCCCACAAATAATATTAGGTTGAGTATAGCAAAAGGAATTAATTTCTGATAATATGATAAATAAAGTTTCAAATTTCTATTAATAAAAGTGCCTAAATTAGTACTTTATATAGTGTTTTTGTTAGAATTACTTTAATAAAAGAATACTTATGTCTAACAGGGAAAAAAAAAAGATTAGAGCCAAGCTTAGATTAGGTTTTTCTTTTTTAAGCAGAAAGATTTGTGTGAGAATAGAGATTAAAGAAAAAAGATATATTATCTTCAAAAGTAAAGACAAGGAAAGAATAAGATGTAAATAGTGATTGTGCAATAATTGTTCGCAAGATAGAAGAAACTTAACCTTTTAAATATTTTTGAAGTTCCTACCATCTGATAAATTTGTAAATGATTCTCTTAAAATTTTGAACTATAGAAAAATAATTTTTAAATTTTTTATAAACCTGTTTAACTTTGTAAAATTTGTGTAATGATCTTTTGTCATTTGTTTCACAGAAGCAATTAACATATTAATACGTGTTAGATTCAGGGGGTGTTTAGATGGAAACCAAACTATAATTTTAGAAGTGTTTTACGGTTTATGAAATAAATATATAAAAGAATTTGTCTCGTTTTACGAAAAAATACTTCTGAGAAGCACTTTTAAAAGTTGTTAAACACTCCCTCAATACACGGAAAGGGATAATAGAGATTGTATTGAAAAGAGTGGGAGGAAAGAGGTTTATATAAACAGGAGGAAAGAAATTTTAATTATTCCTCCAAACTCTCTCAATTTGGATGGGATGAAAAGTTTAGTCCTCTTCATTTTTTTTTTCAACCAACAAAATTACAAAGACAAATCTGTAAAAGGATCTATCCATATTTAACTATAAGTTTAATAAGTTAATTAAAGAGTGAAAATTCAATTTTGTTCCTGAATTTTATTTTGATGCCTTAAAATCAAGAGTGACACAATATCTCTTGTAATGGGGTCCTTTGTGACTTCAGAATAATTTGATAATTTCAAATAATTTTTTTGGATAAGACCTTATTACAATTTTCCCTTATATTTATTTTCTCGTATAGAGCATTCTTTTAAAGTGTTTTGCACCCATATTTTTAAAGAGCTTAATTATGCTGATTTTTTTGTGGCCAAAAAATATGCTCAAATCAAATTTTCGTGTCCTTTTTTATCATGGAAAAAAGAGCATCCATTTCATAGACTGGTGCTAAAAACATGACACTGGACATAATAAGAACTTTTTATTTAGTCTATTTTAGACAAGAATTTAACCTTATTGTTAAACAGCAAATTAGCACAGATTTGGGCAATAAACACACAACATCAATAGAATAAAATATAAATATATTCACACCAAAGGAATGCACACACACGGACAGAGGTATAGAACTTTTTTACTAAAAAAATGGCAATGATTTTGTCAAAATTAATTAATTTCATTTATTCCTTCTATGCATATCATAAATATAATTTTAAATATTAAAAAAATTAAATTTATAGAAAAATACTATTTGACGAAGCAATTACTTATTTTAGAACATGAATAAGATTCACTAGCATGTGAAATACTTGATGCACTGTAGGAAAAACAAATCATAATGTACCGTACGGAGTTTCCATTATAAATAATGCAAGAAGCTCTGGTCTTAATTTAAGGCTTAAAGATAAATTTTCTCCAGCATCAAATACAAATATCTACTTGATGCAGGAAATGCTCCAAGACTAAGCTTCATTCCAGCATTTCCCGTTCAACTCTAACAATATCAGTAAGATACAGACTCATATCCCTTTAATTTACGGTTGGACTCCAAAAATAAGTTCAGACATGGAGTTTCTTGGTTGTAAAACCCTAATCAACTTTTTATGATGTCCATAATATATGTCAAACATATGGCTTGAACACAGTCAAAATAAATACTCCTCCGATTTTTAATACAGGACTCAATTCTTGAGTTAGTTTTGGTCCTAAATATAAGACCCATTTCTCATATTTATCAATTTTTTTTTAAATTACCTCTATAAATACTCCCTCAACCATAATCTAGAAAAGGGAGAGGAGGTATTAAAAAGATGATTATGGTGTTTTAGGAAAAATGTGTCATTTTTCTTATAATTAACTAACTTATCTAACTTCCTTAATCTAATCAAATTAGTTAAATGGATCTTACATTAAGGACCGGAGTAGTAACCACAGAAAATAAGTTCAGACATTGAGTTTCTCAATTGTAAAACAACCTTGTAAACTTTGTACAATGCTTCATGTAGGCGAGTTGCAGCCTACAATCTGAACTGAGGACAGGTTTTTGGAGTTATGGAGTTAGTTTACCCTCACGGGATCATGATCCTTTGCTTAGCCATTGTAGCAAGTGTGTCGCCCAGGACATAAGGGCCATGATGCAAGAAATTGTCAACTCACTTTACGAAATACAAGAAAACTATATTATAGCTGCAAGTCAAATCACTCAAATTCTAATTCAAGAGCAGAACCTCAGATGCACCCCCATAACTCATAAATCAAATTCTGAATGAACAAACAACGAAGGAAGAAGGAACAAAGTTATGCTCAAAAAAGAAATTATTCACTAGAAACATATGCATAGTCATCCGAATATATGGCATGAACAATATTTCTTCAATACCACTTTGAACCATCTTATTGAATACTTCTTTCGACTCACTAACATTATTCATCAGAAAGTATCCGTCCATTAAAGAATTGTAAGTTACGACATTTGGTCTCTCACCACATTTCATGTGTGAGCTTCAATATCCTCCTTTCTTTACAAAATGCATCAATCAATACATTAAATATATAAACATTAGGTTTGATGCTTTTCAATTTGTTGAACCCGGGCCTGTGTTTAAGTATGTAAGGAAAAAGCCCAATATGTGAGAGGGAAGGGCCGAATCTGTAATAAGGGCAATAAGGGAAAAGGGGATTAGCAGTTAGTTACTGAGGGGTATTTATTGTCAGGGAGGCCGTTAGGCGGGGGGTATGGAATTGGTTAGAGAGTGGTGAGGAGAGTGGTGCTCTCGAATGCACTAGGATATTTGGTTCCCTTAGATCTTTGTATTCCATTAGGTTTTACCCTGTGGATTGCATCTTTTCCATTGAATATTAAAGTTTCTGGAGTTAAATCCAACAAAGGTATCAAAGCAGTAACGCCTGGGGATGGTTAATACCCAAACGATGGAAGACTTGAACACTTGTATGAATCTGAATGAAGAAAAGGTAACACAGTTCACTGATGAGATGGCTGTTCTGAAGTCGATGGTAGGGGATGTGTTGTCCGAGCTACGATCGAAGAAGGGACAGGAGAATGTGGAGCCACACACATTGGAATCGACCGCGCCGAAAGTTAGAGAAGCTGAGACTAAGGTCGTTGAGATAGACGACAAGAGTGGGGCTGAAGATACCGAACATGCAGCATTCCGGAAATTGGATATGCCTCTGTTCTCAGGAGAAGAACCTATGGGGTGGATTTTTAAGATTGAACGTTACTTCAGAGTGAACAAGGTACCCGATAATGATAAATTGGATGCAGCAGTATTGTGTTTTGAGGGAAGAGCATTGAATTGGTTTCAATGGAAGGAAACACGATCCCTGTTCTAACTGGCCGGACTTAAAGTGCGACTTGATCTTTCGGTTCCACCCATCACAATATGGTAATACGTATGAGATGTTGATGGCACTCAGGCAAACGCGCTCTGTGTCAGATTATATCGAGCGCTTTGAATTAATTTCGGCGACCTTAGATCATTGCGACGACGAAGTCTTGATCGCTGCGTTCTTCAATGGTCTCCGAGTTGAAATCAAGGTGGACCTGCGATTACTGAAGCTGAACTCCCTGGCTGAGCTCATGGACATGGCGTTGCGACTCGAAGAGAGGAATTGGGTTATGACCCAACACTACCAGGTTCGGGGGCTTGGGCCTCAGCGCAACTGGGCTGACGAGAGGAACAGTGGAGGACACGTGATTTCAAGTAGGACTTCCACAGCAACCGACCCGGTTAAGTCTGCCTCATATTCGGCGAGCTCGTCTTCCGTACCCAAGGCATCAGACCCTTCCAAATCAGTCACGATTCCAGTGACGCACACGAGCAAAATGGTTCCGAAGAAACTCACTGATGCAGAGATTGAACGACGATGTGAGTTGGGCCTTTGTTTCAAATGTGATGAGAAATTCCGTCCTGGTCATCGCTGCAAGAAGAAACAGCTACAGGTCTTAATACTGGCTGAGGACCCCGAGTCGGAGGATGCCCCATCTGTGTCACCGGAGAGCGCAATCGAGGTCCCAGAGACCACAACAGAAGAGGTGGCCGCTCCGGAGGGTCAACTGATGTCTCTGTCCTTAAATGCCTTAGCTGGCTTGACGGGAGGGAAAACGATCAAACTTATGGGGACGGTCCAAGGAAGGGAGGTGCTTATTTTGATCGACTGTGGAGCTACCCACAGCTTCATTCACCAGGACCTTGTGTATTCCTTGTCTCTGCCGCTCGACGATCGAGTAGCTTTCACTGTGCAGGTCGGTGACTCACGTAATGTACAAGGGCGTGGCGTCTGTCGAGATGTCTCGATCATGGTCCAGGGTCTCCATATTATCCATCCACTGTATCCGTTTAAATTGGGTGGGTCCGACATTATTTTGGGGGCAGATTGGCTGGCGTCGTTGGATGAGGTACTGGTGAGCTGGAAACGTTCCACTCTGAAGATTGATATGGGAGATGAGTGGATTTGTCTTAAGGGTAATCCTGCGTTACAGCGAACCCCCATGACCTTCAACTCTCTCTATCGATCCACCCGTGGCGATGAGGAAGTCTTCTTTGTAGAATTTTCTGAGTTGAAAATGACTGAGATCACGGGGGGCTCGATTGATGAAGAGGTCCAAAGTCTACTACGGGAGTTCCCTGCAGTTCAAACTCCACTAGTGGGGTTACCGCCTCCACGTGCGGCAGACCACTCCATTGAGTTACAACCAGGAGCTTCTCCACCCAACGTGCGGCCTTACCGATATCCTTATGGCCAGAAGACTGAAATTGAACGACTGGTGCAGGACATGTTGGCGGCGGGAATCATACGTCCGAGCAAGAGCCCCTTCTCAAGTCCAGTTCTGTTGGTGAAAAAGAAGGATGGCAGCTGGCATTTTTGCGTTGACTACCGAGCTTTGAATAAGATCACTATTCAGGATAAATTTCCAATTCCAACGATCGAAGAATTATTGGATGAATTAGGTGGGGCTAGGATATTCTCTAAATTGGATCTGAAGTCAGGATACCACCAGATCCGTATGAAGCAGGGAGAGGAACGTAAGACAGCCTTCAGGACGCATGACGGCCATTACGAATTTCTGGTTATGCCCTTCGGATTGAAAAATGCTCCTTCTACATTTCAATCTTTAATGAATGATATTTTTAGGCAGCATTTATGGAAGTTCATCCTTGTTTTCTTTGACGACATTCTGATTTACAGTGGTGACAGGTTAGCTCACTTGCAGCACCTTAAGCTTACCCTCTAGATTCTACAGCAACATTCTTTGGTGATCAATATTAAAAAATGTGCTTTCGTTCAACACCAATTGGAGTACTTGGGTCACATCATTTCCAGTGAAGGGGTTCATGCAGATCCCTCTAAAATTGACAGTATGATATCCTGGCCGGTTCCTACTACCTTGAAGAGTCTACGGGGGTTTCTGGGATTGACAGGTTACTACTGGCGTTTTGTCCGTCATTATGGCCTCATAGCTGCCCCACTTACAGCCTTGCTAAAAAAGAATGCTTTCTATTGGTCAACCGAGGCTCAGGATGCATTTGACAAACTCAAGGCGGCTATGACCACTACCCCTGTTCTATCCTTACCAGATTTCTCACAGCAGTTCATTGTGGAGATTGACACCTCCGGCTCTGGATTAGGCGCCGTTCTCATGCAATCGGGTCGCCCTATTGCTTATTATAGCTATTCTCTCTCAGCTCGGCAGCGCAAGTACTCGGTTTATGAGAGGGAGCTAATGGCCATAGTGTTTGCTGTACGGAAGTGGCGATATTATTTGATAGGCCGTCCTTTTATAATTCGTACTGATCAAAAAGCACTTAAATTCTTGCTAGAACAACACGTCTTGGATGATTCTCAACAGGGCTGGGTTTCCAAATTAATGGGTTATGACTTCCAAATCCAGTACAAACTAGGTCCTACGAATGCTGTAGCAGATGCCCTTTCTCGTAAAGCTGATCCTATGGGGTTACATTCAATCTCAGTTTTACAACCAGGAGATTTTGCTTCTTGGGATGATGAAGTGAGGAAGGACCCTTCTCTTGCTAATATCATTCAGTTATTGGCTACTGGCCAAGCCGCTCCCGTTGGGTACACTCTCAAGGGAGGACACTTATTTTTCAAAGGCCGCTTGGTACTACCGAAGTCTTCAGCTCGGGTTCCTCGGTTAGTGCATGATTTTCACGACTCCCCAATTGGAGGTCATTCCGGTTATTTGCAGACTTACAAACGATTGGCTGCCTTATTTTATTGGGACGGTATGCGTAGGGACATTCAGAAGTACATGACAACTTGTGAGGTTTGTCAACGCAATAAGTATATGGCTTTGAGCCTTGCTGGTCTGTTACAACCACTGCCTATACCAGATCGGGTTTGGACTGAAATTTCCATGGATTTTGTTTCTGGCCTTCCAAAGTCCCAACAGTGGGACACTGTGCTGGTTGTGGTAGATCGTTTTACTAAGTATGCCCATTTCCTACTTTTGCATCATCCTTACACTGCTAGGGATGTGGTTGACCTGTTTGTTAAGGAAGTCGTACGTTTACACGGATTTCCCCGCTCAATTGTATCAGACCGAGATCAGCTCTTCTTGAGCAATTTCTGGAAGGAATTATTTAGGGCTGCAGGAACTTCCCTCAAATATAGCTCTAGCTACCATCCTCAGAGCGATGGGCAAACAGAGGTAGTTAACCGTAGCTTGGAAACTTACTTACGTTGCTTTTGTGCTGATAAGCCGAGTACTTGGTCCAAGTGGATTTGCTGGGCAGAATTCTGGTTTAATACCACCTACAACCGTTCTGCAGGGATGTCACCGTTTAAGGCTCTGTATGGTCATGACCCACCTACTATTTACCATTTCCAAGAACCATTGTCTGCAGTTGAGGCTGTTAATGAGCAAATTCGAACTCGAAATTCTGTCCTGGCTGAACTCAAGTCCAATTTGGAACGCTCTCAACAATATATGAAGCTTCAAGCTGATAAGAAACGCCGGGATGTACAATTCCAAGTGGGAGATCACGTGTTTGTGAAGTTACAACCCTATCGCCACAAGTCTTTGGCGCGTCGACCCAGTGAAAAACTGAGCCCACGATTTTATGGTCCTTTCTTGGTGTTGGAACGTGTTGGTGCTGCTGCCTATTGCCTACAATTACCTGCTACAGCCCGTATACATCCGGTTTTCCATGTTTCGCAGCTCAAGAAATCTTTGACATCCGGTATCACTCCACAGCCCCTGCCTTCAGTTTTAAATGCTGATATGGAGCTCGAGGTGTATCCAGCTGCTGTTCTTAAACATCGTCGTTTGACAGACGGCCAGATTGAACTCTTTATTCAATGGACAGGTTTACCAGCTACAGAGAGCACTTGGGAAAATTATGATGCCATCCGGCAGCAGTTCCCTCAGTTTCGCCTTGAGGACAAGGCTACTTTTCATGGGGGGGGTATTGTTGAACCCAGGCCTGTGTTTAAGTATGTAAGGAAAAAGCCCAATATGTGAGAGGGAAGGGCCGAATCTGTAATAAGGGCAATAAGGGAAAAGGGGATTAGCAGTTAGTTACTGAGGGGTATTTGTTGTCAGGGAGGCCGTTAGGCGGGGGGGTATGGAATTGGTTAGAGAGTGGTGAGGAGAGTGGTGCTCTCGAATGCACTAGGATATTTGGTTCCCTCATATCTTTGTATTCCATTAGGTTTTACCCTGTGGATTGCATCTTTTCCATTGAATATTACAGTTTCTGGAGTTAAATCCAACACAATTCCATTTCATGGAGCAATTGGGTAGCTTTTTTTTCCACTGTCCAATGCTACAATAATCATGGATTAGAGAGGTATATGTAACAAGAGACGGCAGAATTCCTTGATCAATTATTGTTGAATAAAATTCATCGCCTCAATGACATGTCCAAGTTTGCAAAAGCCATCAATGATAGTGCTATGTCCGACTACATCAGATTGAATTCCCTTCCTCTCCATCATTTGGACCAATTTAACAGCAGACCTTATTTTCCCTATTTTACATAGTCCCTTGATCAAGGTGCCGTAATTAATTTCATCAAATTGAAATCCTTCAGCCGTTTTTAAGATGTTAATAAAATATTGACAAATGCTCCTACATGAAGTTTAATTTTTTTTAAAATGACAATAATTGACACAAAATTATCATTTGAAATCAACATTGTCAGAATGAAATGACTAAAAAATACTTTATAATAAAATAAACTTTTTCCGCATTCAATACAATTACTCTATTTGATGTTGGAAGTGCTCTTAAGCTCAGATTCCTTTCAGCATTTCCTGTTCAGAGTTAACGATCAGCACAATAGTATGAATAATAATTAACTGCATATTAGAACAAGAACCATCTGAATAAAGGATCCAATCCCTTTAATTTTATTCAGTTTGAAATAAGTACCAAAAAAAAAAGGAAAACAAGAAGAGGACGAGGAGGAGGATATTTATCCAGTTTGCCAAAAGAAACAAACATTTGGAAACCATTCAAGCGAGTTCAACTGTAAAGTAAGATGCAAACACATCCCTTTAGCTTGTACTCCAAAATAAGTTCAGACATTGAGTTTCTTGGTTGTAAAATAGCCTTGAAAATTTTGCATGTTGTCCACAATACACTGCAAGAAATTATCAATTCGCTTTGTGAAATATAAGAAAGCTATATTATAGCTCCAAGTCAGATCGTTCAAATTTTAATTCAATGGAAGAACCTGAGATGCACTCCAAAGTTCATAAATCAACTTCTGAATGAACGAACAATGAAGGAAAAAGGAACAAAGTTATGCTGACAACAAAAATTATTCTCTAGAAATAGATGCGTATTCATTCAAAACATTTGGCTTGATTAAGATTTCTTCAACACGTTTTAGGTCGTTGGAACATCCAAAGATTTTAATAGGAAAGAAATATGAATTGGAAGGCCCTCAGATAAATTTCAACTGTTACATATCAAGTGTAGCAAATATTATCACTACTGTGTCAACCTTACTTCATCATTTTACAAAACCATCACCAATCATTTCTTCAAGAAGCATTTCGGCCTTCTCACTCTCATTGTTTTCCAAAAGAGCCTTAATGAGTGTTTTATATGTTACTGAATCAGGAAGACATCCATTTGCTCTCATTTTGGAAAGCAAGGCCATAGCTTCAACCAACAACCCTCCTCTACAAAGCCCACTGATCATAAAGGTATACGCATAGACATTTAGATGATAGCCACTGATTAAAAGGCAATGAAAAATCTTTTGAGCATCATCTAGTCTACCACCTTTACACAAGCCATCAATAAGAATGGTGTATGTGTATACATTAGGTGGAATTCTCCGCGCAATCATTAGCCTAAATAATGCAAACCCCTGATCAAAATTTTGACTTTTGCAAAACTACCATATTATTTTTATATTTATTAAGTGAAATAGTTTTTCTATGTATATTTTTTAAATTATGATAATGAATTTGTGATTTATTTTTTTTTTTTTAAGTTCTAATTGATCTATGAACTTTTGTTTACAACGCAAAGGATGACTTGGGTCATACGTGTTTGGATACGCTGGTTGCCAATTACCTATGAATTCTGAAAGGAAAATAGCAAAGTTTTATTTAAAAACAAATTTATTAATTATGATCAAATTGTTAATGACTATGAGCTGACATGCTGGTAATATTTTATTCGTATGCCGATAACCAGGATTTAGAAAAGGCAACAAAGCACTTTGAGCAGTCATATACTGATTTTTTTTTTTTGGGGTAAAAGATGAGGGACAGCTTAATTTAATTAATTAAAATTGACAACAACAATAATAACAACAATAACAAGCCTAATTGAGGTCGGGTACATAGACCACACGAGCCAAACTAATTAAAACAGAATGGGGACTAAATCCCATACAATCACTAAGCATAATAGCCAGCAACTGAGTTGGACAAAAATCTAATAAAGCCGTAAAAGAAAGCCCAAGCTTCGGCCAGCGCATCAGCAAGATTGTTGTGTATTCTTGAAGTATGACATAATTTCACATCCCAATTAACCATCATCATCTCACAAATCGGGAGGAACACCGAGCTGCAGTTGGTATAGGAGCTTTAGCTACTCAATAATTCAATCAAAATCTTTGAATCTGATTCAATGATTACTTTTCTAAAACCAAAATCCCAGGCCAATTGAGACCATTATAGATCGCCATTCCTCTGCTTCCAGGACATCACAGTTTCCAAGGAGTTGCGTGAAGCCCACAATCGAGGATCTTTGACAATCTCTAATAACCCCGCCACATCCACCCATATTAACTTTGACTCAATCTTGTGGAGGAGGGAGCCATATGTAAATATCAGCATCACGGGGGGGCAAAACGTGTGCTCCCTTGATTTCATTCTGTTGAGCAAAGGATTTCCAAGTAGTCAATATAATAGAAGCAGGATTATTTGGCAATCGAAAATCATCATTGAAGTAGAACCTGTTCCTCCATAGCCATAAGTGCCAAACCGACACACCCCAAATAATATCCCAAGAGACATTCAAATTACATATTGGAACAAGAAACATTGGAATAAAAAATAAAATCCGCCGCCTTTAAGTATTACTTTACAGTTGAAGAGGCAGTCTGCTTCTTTCTTCATCAACAAGTGCCAAAAGTTGTGACATCCTTGGAGGCAACTGCAACAGACATGTGCGCGCGCGTGTGTGTGATCAATAATATCTGATAATCTTTTCACCAAAAAAAAAAAAATAATATCTGATAATCTCAAATGTTCTCCAAATAAATTGGAAAAAAAAAAACTCACTTCCTTTCACAATGAAGTCAAATAAATACCTAATCCATTTGGAAGAAGGTGACAACCAGCCACATTAGGTTCATGGGCCTCAAGGGTGTTCAAGGACAAAACCATAAAGTTATAAGAGTTTCAACAACACTATTTCTGGAAACTACAATTACACCAGCAATTAAACCAGCAATTGCCTAAAGTTAGAAACACAAAGAATAAAAAACACAAAAGGTAAAGATGCCAACAAAATTATTTTCTCTTACATGTCAACTTATATACTCAAGGAGATTCAAGGACCATGAATCACATATTCATGATAGTTAAACTCACCTCCAAGAGGTGTCCCAGAGGCCTTTGAAATAAGACCCAAAAGTTCTTTAAAAAAAAAAAAGAATAGAGAGAGAGGATATTAATTCAGTTTGCCAAAAGAAACAAACGTGGAAACCATTCAATCAAGTTCAGCTCAAACATTAGTATGTTACATACACATATCCCTTTAATTTAAGCTAGTACTCCAAAAATAAGTTCAGGCATTGAATTTCTTGGTTGTAAAACAGCCTAATTGTCCCCCGATGTACAGTAAGGAATTAACTCACTTTATGGAATACAAGAAAACTATATTATAGTTGCAAAGTCAGATCACTCAAATCCTACTCCAAAAGCAGAACCTGAGATGCACCCCAAGGTCAATAAATCAAATTCTAGATGAATGAACTATGAAGGAAGAAGGAATAAAGTCATGCTCTAAGCAAAAATTATTCACTAGAAAACACAGTCAGAAATTAAAATGTCAAACATATGGCTTGATCGAGATTAACCCTTTTATGAGAACAGAATCAAACAAGCCCCGAGATCCTTGGTTGTAAAACAGCCAAATTAACTTTTTATGATGTCCACAATATAGTGCAGGGAATTATCAACTCACTTTATGAAATACAAGAAAATTATATTATAGCTGCAAATCCGATTTCAAATTCTAATCCAAGAGAACCTGAGATGAACCACAAGGTTCATAAATCAAATTCTGAATTGAAGAAGGAACAAAGTCATCTCTAAACAAAAATTATTCACTACAAACAAACGCATAGTCAGAACAAATATGTCAAACATATGGCTTGAAGAAGATTTCTTCAACGCCATTAAGGTCATTGAACCATCCAACAACTTTAATTGGGAAGAAACAAGAATTTGTTAGCCCACAAAGACAAATTTCAACATTTCTACAAATCTAGCATATATTAGGACGATTGTATCAACCTTAATTTCTCATTTTACAAGACCACCACCAATCATTTCATGAAGAAGCTTTTCAGCCTTATCATTCTCTCTCTTCTCCAAAAGAGCTTGAATAAGAGTTCTATATGTTACCGAATTAGGGAGACATCCATTGGCTCTCATTTTTGAAAGCAAGGACATAGCATCATCAAACAAGCCTTTGCTACAAAGCCCACTAATCATAATGTTATACGTGTAGAAATCTGGATGATAGCCACTCGTCAAAAGGTATTGAAAAATCTTTCGAGCGTCATGTAGTCTACCTCCTTTACACAAGCCATCAACAAGTATATTGTATGTGTATGCATTAGGCTGAATTCTGAGGGCAACCATTTTCCTAAATAATGCAATCCCCTGATCAAGATTTCGACTTTTGCAAAATGCATCTAACAAAATATTATAGGTCACTGTATCTGGGGCATGACCACTTTCTTGCATCTCATAAACAAGATCTCGCACATCTGACATTCTCCCGGATTTGCACAAGCCATCAATAAGAGAATTATATGTTGTCACATCAGGAACCAAGCTTTTGCAACGCATTTCTCTTAAGAAATCTAAAGCTCCATTGACCATTTTAATCTTACAAAATCCGTTGATGAGTATATTATAACTAACTATATTAGGTACTACACCGCTTTGAACCATCTTACTGAATACTTCCTTTGACTCACTTACGTTATTCATCAGACAGTACCCATTCATTAGAGAACCGTAAGCTATAACATCTGATCTCATACCAAATTTCATCATCTTAGCAAACACAGTGAGAGCTTCAACGATCCTCCTTTCTTTACAAAATGCATCAATCAATACAGAAAATGTATAAACATTAGGTTTGAGGCTCTTCCATTCCATTTCACGGAGCAAATGGTTAGCTTCTTTCCACTGTCCTATGCTGCAAAAGCCATGGATTAGGGACGTATAAGTAATAATAGATGGCAGAATTCCTTGATCAATCATTGTTGAATAAAACTCATGCGCTTCAATGACAAGTCCACATTTGCAAAGGCCATCAATGATAATGTTATAGATGACTACATCAGATTTAATTCCCTTCCTCTCCATCATGCGGAACAATTTAACAGCAGACCTTATTTTCCCTATTTTACACAGTCCTTTGATCAGGGTTCCATAACTACGTTCATTGAATTGAAATCCTCTAGCCGTTAAGTCGTCATAAAAGTCTAGTGCTTCCCCGACATAGTTATTAATGCAGAGTCCTTTTAATAAAGTATTCAACGTTATGGTACCTGGTCGAAGATCCATCTTGAGAATCCTTCCCAATATGGAAAAAGCAGAATAAATCTGACCCACATGGCAGTAACAATTGATCAAGACGTTCAGTGTACATAAATCAGGTATGAATCCCTCGAACTCCGCTTGAGCAAACAACGAGATCGCAATTCGATATTGTTTAGCCTTGGCAACTGAGCCTAAAATCTTATTAATTTTGGTTATGGAAGGTGGGGGATGCTTATGGAGTAAGCGATGAAGTGAGGCAACGCTGTCGTCGATGTTATTTGCACGTGAGGGTTGGGAATGAGCCAAGAACTTGGGATTGAGGGAATGATAGAGAGAGGGAAGCGTGAGAGACGCAAAAGACGGAGGAAAGTGAGCAATTTTGGGCAATGCATACCTTGAAATTGGACACAATAGATGAAGACAATGCATGATTGTGGAGATGGGGCATGAAGACAGCGAATTTCAAGAGGGGCAAGTCGAAGGAGACGCGGAGAAGTGGGTTCCTAGGAGCTCTTCACCCGTGGGACATCTGCCTAATAAAAAAAAAAAAAATTAACTCTTGATGGAGCTCAACTCGGCAATCCAAATAATTAATAATTAATAATGCCTTTTGTCCCAAATATAAAATTTAGTTGGAGGATTTTTTTTTCTAAATATCCATTGACTTTAATTTTCTTTATATTTAATACTTTTTTTACATTATGCTCGTTAATTTAACTTTTTTTTTTTACTCTCTTTGTTTCTTCTTTTAATACTCCTATTAAAAGAGAGTTATTTTAAGAAGAGTAGAGTAACTTTTTTTTTAGGACAATACGTTCATTTTTAATTACATATGACTATATGTTCTATTTTTAAATATTATTATTTATTTATAAAATTACATAAAAAGAAAATACATGGCAATGTGTAGTTAGATAACTTAATGTAATGGATACGAGGAACCTGAACATACTATTTTCTTTTTTTACATAATAATAATAACAAATAATAAATTTAATAAATTTTCTTAATTGTACTCAAATTTTATTTTTTATTTAAAAAATTCATCAATTTTATGGATATGGTAAAAACTTCTTTCATTGTTTATTTTATGAGAAAATTTAAATTTATTGTTAAAAACTAAATCAGGAGAAGTTTTAACAAACCGAAAGAATTATCGAAGAAATGAGAAAAGGAAAATTAGATATTCTTTATTTATGACTTCTTTTTATTTTGGTGAACTTTATTTATCTCTTTTCGCCGGCACCAAGCGTGACTACATAAATATGAATTTCATTCCTTGATGACTATAGACTCTCATAATGCTGAAATGAAAGGTTCAAGAGAGGAAAGGAATGTTAGAAAAGCCCTTCTTAGATTTTGAGCTTTTATCATTCCTCAGATCCCCAATCTGTCAGCACCAATTATTAGTTTGACTAAGAAATAAGGTTTATCCTGTTGTAGAAAATAGAAATACCCATACCTTGAAACAAATTATTACTTTTCCATCTGATTTTGGAGGAAGGGAATCACTTTTACATTGCAGATTACTTTAAATCCTCATTCAATGATGAAAGAATTTATGGGTTTCTCTTATAACTTGAGCCTGACTTGCAAATGGTCATGTTTGGTTCCTTTTGGCTACCATTCTACTTCGGAAAATTTCATCTTCCCTTCTAACAATTTCTTGTGCGGATAGACTGTTTGGATCAGAGGAGGAAAACTTCTTCACATTTCATTAACGTTCGGTATCATGGGAAATTGATTCAAATTCTTGGATGGGAAAAATTTGGCTTCATCATCATCGTCAAATTTTTACCGATCTTGACCTGGATAAAAAATTTACAGTTCTTTAAAGAATTTGCCAGGGGATTGGATGAAAGTAATAGACTCCGGAAAGATTTCTTTTTCTTTTTTTTTTTAACTTTAACTTTAAACCTCCTCCTATAGGAGGGGGGACCACACACCCAGACAAGACGCCCACTCGCCCCACATTTGGTCACAGTGAGGTAAATCCTTATAGTCAACTTTGGTTCGATTGAAGCAGTGGGATAAGCACTTGTAATCAACAACCAGACCAGCAACACACGAAAACGAAGAACGGAACCTAGAAATATTATTCATGTTTTTTACAAAAAGTAATGTTGACAAAATTAACTCAATAACCACATAAAAGTTAACTTCAGATAGAACAAACCATGACTTAAGCATACTTTTATACAAACTCCTTTAGAAGTCACCATAGAATCATGGTTTCCGACGAAATGACTTAGAGTGTGTTTAGCATTACATTAGTGACCCCAAAAGTAACTTCCACACCGCAAAAGCCAACTTCTGACCATTTTTCTTGTTTGGATCCATAATTGTTTAAGAAGCTCTTTTCTCTTCTATTGCACGGTGGAGCAGAAGCCACAAAAAGTGGCTTTTCCAGTGCATCACTGTGCGGCAACATCACGAGCTCCTTAATTTCATTACCTATCCAAGTTGCCCTTCTACTCGACAAAATGAAAATTAATAAACCTTTTTCTGCGAATGATTATGAGATGCTTTGTTTTTCTTTGCCGGAGAAGAAGCAAAAGAATCTCTCTTTACCCTCTGCTTCTGCTTCTACTAAAAGCTCTCCCAGAACTTCTCCTGACGGGTAAACATTTCACTCACCTTATTCCTTCACTTTCATCGCTGTTTTGGAGTGCTATTGATTTAAGGAACTCTAGCAACTTCGACTATATTTTGGGTTTGCTTATTTTATTGCGTCAACGTAGCTTGTTTCAATTGAGTGCTGGGTTTCACCAATTCGCCTCATGATTCAATGGTTGAAAAATTTTCGTTCCCTTTTAAACATTTGAATATGCATTTAATTGATAAAAATTGAACTGGAGAAAATGGCTAATCAAAGATACAGTGGTGGGTCCGTGAATGATTATAAGATGCTGAGGTGGGGAGAGGGATTTTGAGAAGCTAAGATTTGAGAGGGATTTTGAGATGCTGAGGGGAGAGGCAGTGAATGATTATTGCTGTTGCTGTCCGGGACGAATTGACAGAGGCAAGGTAGGGAAGGGGCGGAGAAGGTTGGTGGTGGATTGAGGAGAATTGATTAGAGATTTTAGGGTTTAAAAAAAAAAACACCAAAACCTTTTTTATTTTCCGTTAAGATATCTTTTTATTTTTTATTTTATTATCTAAAATCTTATATTCAGACAAGTTAGCCCAAATATCTCTAATCTCAAGGGATTATTCAAATATATTTGCATCTTTTTATGGTATTTATTTTTATTATTTAAAATTTATATACATTTTTTATCCATTAAACATATCTAATTAAGTACTTTAGAACTATTTTTATTTTTATAATTTGTTAATTTTAATATTTCTCTTAAAATTTTCACATTATGTACATAATATATATATGTCATTTAATAAAATTTATGTCCTTTCCAGTAATTTTATATCTAAACTTACTTTTTCATTACTCATCCAAACAAGCTTTAGCTGCTCAAACTGATTTCTTTGTAAAAGCTAATCCAAACATAAATTACATTATACTATCTAACTTCTACCAAAGTCAGATTACAAAAAAAGTTACTTCTCCACCACTAATCCAAACACACTCTTGTTACACAGCTGAGCAAACCGCGTTGTTGGGCGTGAGTCAAGAAGGCATAAACTAAACAGCAATTATCATTTCTTCTCTTCACGTTTCAATCCAGATGGTCCAACTATTGCCGAGTGTGGGGTATATCTAAGATAGAATGAACCAGAGAAACTCCACGGAGACACCTGCGTCAGACATGTAAATGCAATAATAGCCAATGATATCCAACATTTTTCAATTAGATAAAAACTTGCCTCGTTTGGAAGAAGGTTACAGCCTCCCACATTGGGTCCATGTGCTTCAAAGGTCTTGGACAAAACCATAGAGTGGAAATCATAGTTCATGACTCTAATTTCAAAATAATGCATTCCGGACTACAGTTTTGAAAGCAAATGCAGATATCCCAATAAGATGTTGAACCTCAACACAAACCATCCTCATAGCAACGGAAATACAATAACGCCTACAACTTCCCCTGTAAGAAAACATATTTCACATACCGTTTTGCCTAAAGTTAGAAATGCAATGAATAAAAACACAACAGGCAAACCTGCTAACCAAATTATTTTCTATTACACGTAAATCATATAATTAAGGAGATGAAAGGACCCGAGCATCACATATTCATGGTAGCAAAGGGCATTGAATTAAGACTAAAAAAGGATATCCACTTAGTTTACCAAAAGAAACAAACGTTTGTAAACCATTCAAGTAAATCTAACTTTAACATTAGTATAACACAGATTAATATGCCTTCCATTTATGCTTACCCTCCAAAATAAATTTAGATATTAATTTTCTTGGTTGTGTAAAAGAGCCAAATGAACTTTTAAGGTGGTCCATAAAATACTGGAAGGAATTATCGAAATCCAAGAAACTACATTTTAGCTGCAACTCTAATTTAGAAACAAGATGTACCCGAAAGGTTACAGGTCAAAATCAGAATAAACTATAGAAAAGGAACAAAGTCATGTTCAAGACAAATTATTCACCAACAGATGGTCAAAATAAATGTGTCAAACACATTGCTTGAACAAAATTTCTCCAACAAAATTTACTTCACAGTATAATCAAACAATTTTAGTTGGAAAGAAAGAAATTGCTAGTCCTTAAGGGCAAATTTCAACATTTACACAACTATAATATATAGTAGAACTAGTGCATTCAACCTTATTTCATCATTTTACAAGACCATCACCAATCATTTCCTGAAGAAGCTTTTCGGCCTTCTCATTCTCACTGTTTTCCAAAAGAGCTTTAATAAGTGTCTCATATGTTACTGAATCAGGAAGACATCCATTTGCTCTCATTTTGGAAAGCAAGGCCATAGCTTCAACCAACAACCCTCCTCTACAAAGCCCACTGATCATAACGGTATATGTATAGACATTTAGATGATAGCCACTCATTAAAAGGCATTGAAAAATCTTTTGAGCATCATCTAGTTTACCACCTTTACACAAGCCATCAATAAGTATAGTGTATGTGTATACATTAGGCTGAATTCCCTGGGCAACCATATGCCTAAATAATGCAACCCCTTGATCAAGATTTTGACTTTTGCAAAATGCATCTAACAAAATACTATAGAAAACTATATCTGGGGTATGACCACTTTCATGCATCTCATAAACAAGGTCTTCCATAAATGACATCCTCCCTGATTTGCATAGGCCATCAATAAGAGAACTATATGTTATCACATTAGGAACCAAGCCTTTGTGACGCATTTCTCTCAAGAGGTCTAATGCCTCATCCACCATTTTACTCTTACAAAATCCGTTGATCAGTATATTATAACTAACTACACCAGCTACTACACCACTTTGAACCATCTTGTTGAATACTTCCTTTGATCCACTAACATTATTCATCAGACAGTATCCATCCATTAAAGAACTGTAAGTTACAACATTCGGTCTCTCACCACATTTCATCATCTTAGCAAACACAGTGAGAGCTTCAACGATCCTCCTTGCTTTACAAAATGCATCAATCAATACAGTAAATGTATGAACATTAGGTTTGATGCTTTTCAATTCCATTTCATGGAGCAATTGGGTAACTTCATTCCACTTTCCAATGCTGCAATAACCATGGATTAGAGAGGTATATGTGAAAACAGACGGCAGAATTCCTTGATCAATCATTGTTGAATAAAATTCATGGGCCTCAATGACACGTCCAAGTTTGCAAAGCCCGTCGATGATAGTGTTATATACGACTACGTCAGCTTTAATTCCCTTCATTTCCATAATTTGGACCAATTTAACAGCAGACCTTATTTTCCCTACTTTACACAGTCCATTGATCAGGGTGCCAAAACTAAATTCATCGAATTGAAATCCTTTACCTGTTAAGTCATGGTAAAAGTCTAGTGCTTCCCCAACCTTGTTACCCATGCAGAGTCCTCTGAGTAAAGTAGTCAAGGTTATCACATTTGGTCGAAGACCCAACTTGAGAATCCTTCCCAACATTGAGAAAGCAGAATACATCTGACCCACATGGCAGTAACAATTGATCAAGATGGTCAATGTAAATAAATCAGGTATGAATCCCTTGAACTCCGCTTGAGCAAACAACGAGATCGCAATTCGATATTGTTTAGCCTTGGCAACTGAGCCTAAAATCTTATTAATTTTGGTTATGGATGGTGGGGGATGCATATGGAGTAAGCAATGAAATGAGGCAACGCTGTCGTCGATGTTATTTGCATGCGAGGTTTGGGAAGGAGCAAAGAACTTGGGATTGAGGGAATGATAGAGAGAGGGAAGCGTGAGAGACGCAAGAGGGGAGAGAAATTGAGCAAGTTTGGGCAATGCATACCTTGAAATTGGGCACAAAAGGCGGAGATAATGCATGGCTAAGCAGATGAGGCACAACACGACCACGGCGAACTCCGACAGCTTCGAATCAAAGGAGGCGCAGAGAAGAAGGACCGAAGTTGAAGGGTTTTTCCTCCCCGAGCACTTGCGATTAGGGTAATTGAACCCAGCTAATTGGCCCCCTCCAAACGCGGCGTTTCTTTTTTCATTTGCAGCTGCAATATTGTTGCCGGGCCATTGGATCCCACCTTAAGGTTTTTGATTCATTCCTTCGCTCATAATGTTCCGCGTTCCGAGACACCAAGGCATTATTTGGATTAGCGGCCACAAATCTGACTTTTATTCTATTTAATTAATTTTTGCAAATATGAGCTTAAGTAAAAATCAATTAGTATAATAATTTATATTTCAATTGATATTTATAAAAATTCAATTTAAAAAGTTGAAACTTATTAGATGGATAATAAAAAATTAAGTTTAAATATAAAATGATTTAAAAAGGATATAAATTTTATTAAATAATATAGCATCTTATCCTTAATATAAGAGCTAGTTAATTAGTTTGAGTAAATTAAAAAACTAGTTAAGTTAGTTATTTGTAATAAATATGCGTTGTCTTTTTTAAAATATACATGCTAATCAAATATATTGGCTAGAACTGTCATTATTACGGTAGTTATCTTGAAAAATAATACTCCTCCGGTCCTTAATATAAGACCCATTTAACTAATTTGATTAGATTAAGGAAGTTAGGTAAGTTAGTTAAGTATAAGAAAAGTGACACATTTTTTCTAAAACACCATAATCATTTTTCTTAATACCCCCTCTCCCTCTTCTATTTGATCATAGTTGAGGGAGTATTCATAGGGGTAATTTAGAGAAAATTGATAAATATGGGAAATGAGTCTTATATTTAGGACCAAAACCAACTCAAGAATTGGGTCCTATATTAAGGACCGGAGGAGTAGATAAATATAAGAGTTAAAGTGGATAAAGGTTTTATATTTAGAATTAAAATAAAAGTAAAATGAGCTCTTATATTAAGAACTGGAAATAATACTGCTTGTAGTCCTTAATACAATATCAATTTACAATAATGACAAGTTAGCTTAAAAAAATAATAAATATAAAAAGAAAACTTATATCAAGTTACTTAGATCAAATATATCAAGTTAGCCCATCAAATTAAGCCAGCAATATTAATCTTACACATCATCATTTTACCCCCAAAATAGTTGTTAAACCTTGTTAAAATAAATATGGAAAAATGGTTTTATTTTTTGTTTTAGTAAGCGTTTTAAATGTCTTAAAAGTACTTTAAAAACATTTTTTATAAACTAAGAAAAAATTCTTTCCGTACACTTTTTTTTTTTCCATATTGGTCTTAGCAGTGTTTAGTTATTGTTTTGGGGCTAAATAATGATGTGTAAAATTAATACAATTGGCACCATTTGATTGACCAACTTCACAAACTTAACTAAGTAACTTAATATAAGTTTTGCCCTAAATACAAATATTTTTAAAAAATTTGTTAATTTTTTAATCTCTTTATACAAATTAATTAGGTTTTACATTAAGACACCAGATATTATATATATTATATACATAATGTGATAGTTTAAAGATGAATATTAAAATTAAAAATTATAAAAATAAAAAATAAAAAATAGTAAAGGTATTATTGGAAAAAAAAATTAGAAAACAATGTGGATCCATTTTTAAGTTTTTCATGACAATTTTATCTACGTAATAAGGACGTCCGGGGTAAATCAGAATAATTTAATCTTTTCTTGAAAAAAATTATCTTTTATTTTAGAAAAAATGACAAAAAAAGTTAAAAATTGCAGTATTTCAATTCAGGTACTTAAGAGATCACAATATAGGGAGAAAGTGATACCCGATTTGGTATTTTGCAAGTATAGTTAAATGACAAAAATGCCCTTGTATTAAAAAATTTATTAATAAGTTGTGAAACAGTTATTAGTGTTGAATAGTAAATAGCAAGAAATGTATTGACAATAACAAGTTATTTATTAATAAATTGTGAATTGATAATGATAAATGTTGAACAAACAATAACAAGAAACATATTGATAATGACAAATTTGACATTGTTTTTTAGAAAATATGATATAAGAATATTTTAGTCATTTGGTTATATTTGCAAAATATCATATTAGGTATTACTTTCTTTTCTGAGATTTTGACCTCTTAGGTATTTAAATTAAAATATTATAATTTTCAACTTTTTTTTTTGGTTATTTTCCCTTTATTTTATTAAAATAATGTGGACCAACCTTTTTATCCTTCTCTCCCTCCCTTTTCAAAACAAACGAACGCAACCAAAAGTCACCCGGGGATGGCCCTATTCCGGACATGGACATACGGCTTTTTTACTTTTATGATGCATTTGGCTCCCCACACGGCTAATCTAAGCACATTCCATGAAGATACTAAAAAAATCCAATACTCGTACTTTTTTTTTATTGCCAACAGAAAATCAAATACAGATAAGTTGTGATTCATTCATTCATTCATGGGCGCCTTTCTTGAGGAAAAAAAGTGGACTTCAGTTGTTTGTTATATTTTGCAGGGAGAATTATAATCACGTCTTAAAAAAAAATTAGTTACTTTAAAATTTATTGATAATTAAAAAATATGCAATGACAAGTTTCAGAATAAAAAAAAGACAATAAATTCAGGCTGGTCACTTAAATTTCTTACTTGGACCTCATATTCATATTTTTTATATAATCATATGATACCCAATACTATTATAACATGATTTTATATGTTATATTTTCATTTGTTTTTTTAATCTCGTATACTACCATTAAATTTTTATAACGAAATATTAGGTCATAACAAAAATGTTGGCAAAAAAAAAAGGTCATAACAAAGCTACGTGGAAGCAATAAATCAAATACTTAATTATCATTTTACTTATAACGAAATTTCCGCACCTATTTTCAGCATGGATCATATCATGCGTATATATTGCACAATTCTCAAACGTTATTTTTTTTAATTAACCCTACTGGTTGGGGCTTTAGTTTTCTCTCAAATGAAAAATTAAAAGAGGTATCTAAAAATATTAAAAAGAGTGGAAGCGTCATTTCAATGGGTATGATTAATCATATCACTTGATAAAATGGTTAATTAATTAAAACGTTCATGTGCTGTTATGTGAACCTGTTTGCGCGTTGGCATGCGAGCATGGAGTATTGTAAACTTTGTATATAATATTTTTGAATTTTTATATTAAAATCTCCCTCTATATTTTTATCAGAAAACTCCCACCTCTTTTAAACCACAATGGGCAAACGATGCATAGTCCTCAAGGCTAGCTCTTGTGAATCCTCAAAGCTTTTAATCCGAAACAACCGAATTGATACGAAATACTGCTTGATTATTAATATAAGAACTCGTTTCATTTTTATTTTGGTCCTAAATATGAGACTTTAATTCACTTTGTTTCTTATATTTATCTATTATTTTCTGACATAGTCCTTATAATAATACTAGTTCTAGCCAATATACTTGATTAGTGAGGATATTTTAGGAAAAACAACACATATTTATTATAAATAACTAACTTAGCTAGTTTTTTTAATCCATCAAATTAATCAACTAGTTTTTATATTAAGTACCAGAGGTAATATTAGTAAACATTCGGTCATAGAGCTTAAATCAATGTTCAGAATTACACTCACAAAGAAATTAGTAGAAGAAGAAGAAAGAGAGGATATCAGAAGCACAGGGAAAAATTATTTATGGTAGTAATGCTACCACAGGAAAGCAAGTGACTGGGGAAACGATGGAAACACAGTTCCTTCGGTTGCAATTGAGCTCCAGAAAACATGAAATGAGCATACCCACTTGGGATATAGTCCAAAACCATTGTAGCCCCAATTGTGAGAAAACGGCAGTATCTATAATTATGGTGGCAAGTCCTAATGCAATCTTGATCGAACACCAAAATTGTCAAGGTCCAATAGATTGTGAAATTTTGAGAGTAAATCAGATTCCCAATCTCTCCTTTCCGAGAGGGAGAATGTAACTTCACCTAGAGATTCAATAACTCAACCTGCATGCCAACTTTTGAAAAGTATCAATCATGAACTCACAATAACAGCAGTAAAGATTTATTCCACTAGGTGAGGTTGCCTATATAGGTCATGCAATGTTATTGAACTCTATTCAAAACCAAATCTTTGAATATATTGTTAATTGAAAGATTTCGTTCAATAATTTCGTTAAGTGTTCTCTTTGGCCTTCGTCTATTTCTTTTTAGAAGACTCTATATTGTTTGATCAACTCTTCTCACTAGCACATCTGAAGGCCTTTTCTGTACATGATCAAACCATCTTAATCATGAACTCATACAAGTTATAAAATCCAAAAATATTGTAGAATTCTCTGATTAGTTGCTGCAGAATATTGTTGTGAAGAATAGTTGTCACCACCGACGCTCTTTGAGGAATGTCATAAGCATAGACTTCTTTATCAGTTTTCAATATGTTGATAAAACATGGCCCAACGTCCGAAGAAGGTAAGCAGTGTTTCATATATCGGCCAATTCATCAAGGTGCTATCTCCATAATGCCGAGGCTCCCCGCTAACAACTAGCAAATAACAGTGCCAAAAAAAAGAAAAAATCTAATGCCATTTGGTTGTTTTAACAAAATCCATATGGGAAGATCAGCCAATGAAATGATTGGTGAAGCGATTCGGAGCCTCTCCTCTCCTCTTTCCATTCTCTTCCATTCTTTTTTTTTAATCATTGGATTAATATTTTAATGAATCATATTTAAATCTTTTTAAAACTATTATAAAAATATTAAATTATAAAAATAAATAAATTATAAATTATAAACTATATTAAATTTTAATTTTAATAGTTTACAAAAGCACTGAATTTTTTATAAATACTTTATAAAAAATTAAAATTTAAATCGTTGAAATATGTTAATCTAATGATTAAAAAAAGAAAAGGAGGAAAAAAGATGGAAAGAGAAGAGGAGAGGTTCCAAGCTGATACATGGAGCCATGATAGGAGAGCCCATCAATCATAGAGGTGCGGACAAAATTTCTGAATATAGAGACACAAAAAGGTCCAAAATTCATAAGC